CTACACTTTAAAGCCATGAACACAAGTGGCAAAACTATCAGCTTTGCTTCTCGAGGATCTTTGAGTTCCTTAAGTTAGGATTTCATATCCTCCTTTGTGATTAAATGATAATATCTTGTCTTGAGTCAAATGTTAAAAATGACTTTAAAGTGAAACAGTTTCTTCTGAGGAATGAATATCGAAAGCTTTGATACATCAGTCGCTCTGGCAACCACTCAGACCCGCTGCTCGCTGTGTGTAATCTGTGACTCAGTGTGTGTAGTGTCACAGTTATCGAGTGTGCAGCGGGTGTCACCCTTTTTATATGTGTACGCATGTGTGTGAGCACGCGTGTGTGTAAGGGAGTGATAAGGGGTGTTTCACTTTAAACTTAAAAAGGGCGAGAATATCGACATGTCTAGACATGCAAGACTGAGAGCGGGAGTGCAGAGAGCAACAAGGACATTCACACCTCCTACACACAATACACACACAGACACACACACACAAACAAACATGCAAGCACGCACACTCGTTCCAGACAATCAACAACCTCAGACAGGGCATTAAGGGCAGGTCCAGCGTGATATGAATGTGTTTCATTGCTCTCAGCAGAAAAAGGAGCAATCGTATTGCTGGCGTGTTGTCATGGATACACTGTTTCCACCGGTAGAATTAGCGCAGTAAAGCGTTCAGGCCTGAGCTGATTACTGGTGTGCACTTTTCTCTCCCCCCTCTCTCCTTCTCTCTCCCTATCACATCCCTCGCACTGCTGCTAACAGCCACCTGCCTCTGTAGCGTAACGTTTCCTCCGCCATACATTTTTTAAAACACCTAGAGCCATCGCGGGCCCAGAAACAAACACAGAAGAAGGCAGAGCAGGCCCCACGGCTGAGATCTCTCCTAAATATAGCCCAGCTCAAGTGCAGCTGCATTAGCATCACAAGTTTCATTACTGCTCTCTTTGAGTGCATCTGCAGTCTTCAGTGACGGAGAAGAAGGAGGAATAAGAGCTCAGAAGTAGCTCAGGAGCTGTTTTATTGCTATACTTTCCACCCACGGGAGTGATTATTAGGAAAGGTCTAGTGGTAGTAACGTGCAGTCATGGGTCAGATGCATAGTTTTCCCCACTTTAAATCGTGTGCAAGTCTTTATCAGTTCAGCCTTTTGCTTGTCACTAAACCAAGTAAACCAATAAAAACATCTGATGTAGATATCCGAGCAGTGCTTCTCTGTGATAGTTTCACAACTCACTACTGTCATTAGTTGATCAGTGCACTTCACCTCTTCCGGGTGTTAGCATTTCCTTAAAATGTTCAAAGTATCTCTAGCCAGGTTTTTCATAGCTAAAATAACCTAAACCGAAAAATAAAACTACCCACCGTTGCATTTGACCATATTCTGGTATGTCACAACCACAGAGAGTATAAAACGTGGACATAATCACCATGACATCACCCACTGGTTTGTGAAGGCAGTTATGAAGCCTTGCGCCGAGCATTTTCACTGTCGCCATCTTAGTGTTTTGAAACTGGATGTGATGAGTGAGGGTTAGATCTCGCTAATGGCTTGTAATTCACAAGAGACAAGAAACCCCCTCCCTGCTCTCACCAGTGAGCTTCAAACTTTGCTTTTTTGACAAAGCTAATGGTTAAGACCTCCAAGTATGCCTTCGCCTTAGTTATCCCGCTATAGGCTCATGCTGCTGGGGACTTCCCCTCTTTTTACTAACCATGTTTTATATACCACAGCTGCATGTCTGTCTTTGTGTCTCTCTTTTTTCTCTCCCTTCAACCCCAAACTGATCACAGCAGGTTACTGCCACTCCCTGAGCATGGTTGTGTTGGAGGTCTCTTCCTGTTAAAACAATGTCCTTCTCCCCGCTTTTGCCAAATAGTTGCTTGTGTGTCTGTTACAATAACATGTTTGCAATGTAAAGTGCCTTGTGTGTACGATATGTTTAAATTGAGAGATTTTAGCCTTTACACACATGTGCTACACAGATGAGCAGGTCGTAGTAGTAATTATTGTAATTGACCACATCTGTGGCTGGAAACAGCAAAATGTGTTGCATGTCGACAGTTTGAAATTCACGCTTCTTTCTATTGTTACAATAATTCGTGACATTATAACTGTATCCTATTGAGCTGCTCATTTAAACTAGCAGACTGTCATTAGTTACACTTTATTTGAAAGGGTCTTAATTCTCTTAATTTGGTCTTATAGCCAATTCAAGAAATGTCTTCTCTGAATATTCTACAGTAACAAATGTCTGCATCAGGACTCATTTGATTATTAGGATCCCCATTAGCTTTAACACAAAGCACAGCTATTCCTTCTGGGGTGGGCGTGTATATTAACACATTTTAAAACAGTGATGTAAAACAGCGTGACTTCTTTTAACTTGTGGATGAGGTGTAACCAGTTGCCCAGAAGTCATGTGACAGAAGTCTGTATGAATCGGTTTATCACAAATGAAGTGTGTCATGTGTTTCAGTCAAGCAGTATACATAAATAGCCATAGACCTGCCTGTAATTTGCCACACACAAAAATCCAGTGTAATTTTGTTTGGGATTGTTTGTTTATGTCTTGTGTTTATATAATGAACGGTTGCTATGGTTGCTATCAAATGTTGTCTCTGCTCTTCCTTAAAATGTCTGCATCAGCTGATTTGTCCTCGATTGAGACCTTCAATCTCGTGGGTCTAAGAGCAGTGCAGCTGGATTTTACCTTCAACCGACTAATGAGGAAAACAACAATAACGTGTGTGAATTGTTTTGCATTTAAGGACTTTCCCGGGCATCTTAGCAAAGCGTCTTGTGGTGTATAAAGAATTTGAATAAGCCTCACTTCCTCAACTGAAGTTCCCTTTACAAACAGTAGTATAAACTTGGAGAAAGAAGTACGGAGTCCAGAAGTCTCAGTGCTGTGATGCTAGTCATGTGATCCAAGAATCTGCATCTAAAGGATTTCTTAAACACAGTGAAACTAACAGCAGCTACAGTACATCTAAGATGCACTTCTTTTTCTTACTTGTCTAGCTCAGCAGTATCTAGATCTTCATTTAGAAGAGCAATAGCTGGCAAATGGTTAGCTATATTTAGACCATTTTAATACTTAATTATACAATTATAAATGGAAATGGAAACTGGACATGTCAGTGCTGCAGCGAAGAGTTCACCACCAGTTCGTTTCCACCAGGCTGGACTTGAATCTGGACTAATGGAGGCAGGGGAGGAACAGGGAGCTGGGAGGAACTGAAGCTGAACGCTTTATCAAATAAACTCAGTAAAGATGTCTAAAATACCATGCCTCTGTAATTAATATAACTAGAAAGGTTAGTGGTGTATAATTCAACAGTTTAACAAGTTTATGTAGCTTAGTTTCCATTAACCTTGTGAGTCTCTTCTTTTACATGCTAGCGTTGTGTTTATCAAGTTTATGTTTAGCAGGTTTCGTTTCTGCTGAGTTTACCACCTTGGTTAAGGATATCAGCATGTTCACGTTCACTAAGTAGCCTGAAATACAAAAAAACAGCTGTGGTGAATGGGAATGTTTTTGGTTTTACAGGATCAGTCATTAACAGACAACTGTGCAGGGTTTTTCTCCATGCAGGAATCTTTTGTGCACCCCAAAAATGCTTTAACCCAGAAGGATATTGTAATAAATATACTGAAATCAAATTATGCTTGAGCTTTTCATTCGCTCAGCAGTAAAACACTGTAGAATTTGGTCTATAAAATGTTCAGAAGGAGCATAAGAAAGCATTAATTTATGTCATGTAAGGCCAAAGAATCACTTACTTTATGTGAATTAAACATGCCTACTGGGATCCCCATAGACCCATTTCAGCCAGCTCAGAATGAGTGGTGGCAAACCAGTGTTTACCAGCATCCAGACTCATCCTCTGTGAGCTATGAACACTGAGTAAAAAATGAATGTTAGTCCAATGTTGTTGAGATGTTTTAGTCTTTAACAATATCCTGGTTCAACACAGTCGTTGCCATTCCAGGGAAATATTGGAAATAAATAATTATTAGGGCAATTCATTGGACTAGGGCAGTTCTTTAAATTATTTTATTTGTATGTTCAAACATATTGTGAAATATTTGTATTAGGGAAAAAAATCTCTAGTAAAGGAAACTACTCCAGGAAAAATATGTACCCAGTGAAGGCTTGACTATAAAATCTACAGTAAATGTATGTACGTATGAACGTTATGGCATTCTGTTTCTTTTTTAAATATTAATTGTAACTTCTTTTCAACATCTCCTTTTATTTTACTTAAGTTACTGAAGCAACCTTGCAAACAGTTGTTGTAAAATTACTGTTAAAAGAAAGACTGAGGAACGAGTTTTAGTTTTGAAATGTCATCAGACTGCCAAGCTCCTCTTTCAACCTGATATCAGCAGGAATATATATCACGTATGGTCAAACAACAACTTCTCTGTGATTTTACAGTATGATTTAGGGGAAAAATACTGCTGGGTCCTTATTTTGGACCCATGATGCATGGTGACTCTGTAAGATGGCAGCAGGAGAAGTTGCTCTAAACTCTTTGAATTTATTGCATTTTGTTTTACGGTGTCGTTTGTGTCAGCTTGAAATAGATCCCACTACAGAGAGAGTTCAGCTGAGAGTCTGAAGTTCGGCAGGGGTCTAGACAGCGAGTAGACTGGAGTCTGGAATCTGTGTGGATAAAATAACAGGTTCCCTCGTCACATCGCACACCACATGACCCCTCAACTCTCATTATCCTGAGGGCTCATCTGCATGTGTGTGTGCTGGAGACAGGTGCTGACTAGGTGACTGAGTACACAACTCCATTCATGGTCTCCAGACACATTTTGTCAAAGTGTGGTTTTTAGTATCGCTTCAACAGCAGTGATGGTCACACAAGACTTCACATGCTGCCAGCGGGCAGAGTGATACTTTCTGTTTACAGGCAGTGATACTGAGGCAGATAAACATGATGACATTTCACTTTTTCTCTCTCCCTCTTTCCCTTCTCTTCCCACAGTTTGGACCAACGTGGAGCCTCGGTCGGTGCCAGTGTTCCCTTGGCATTCGCTGGTCCCTTTCCTGGAGCCCAGCCAATCGGGAGCAGCTGCCCAGCCCGTTGATGGCCAACAGCTTGTCAATCAGAGCAAAGGTACCAAATGACCATATTCCTTTTCTGTACACACGACCTCGTAAGGTTTTACCCAGGAGAGGTGTGCCGAAGATGGATTCGTGCCCTAAAAACAGTTTTATAAACAGTTTTCCCACAATAAAATATTCATAACAGGAAACGGCATGCAGGGATATGTTCTCAAATAACGCCTGCCAAAACAATCAAGTACAAATCAACAGCCAAGTCAGTGTTTCCCAAAACAGTTGCGACAGGATTGCAAATCACCACAGTTGGTGTTCACACCATTATTATTCTCGTAACATTGTTGATAACACTATTTATTGAGTCAAGTACTGAAATCTATTCAAAGACTGATTTGAGCAGGTGGGGATTGTCAGTAAGCTACAAGCTAATTTGGAAACAGAAATCTCTTTTGTACACATCTTAATGGGATTTTATTTTAGGCCCTTTAAGTCATATTTTTAAGAGCTGTAGGCTGTTTAAAGAGGTTCTGCTTACCACCTCTCTATTTATATCTGCTACTGGAGTAGCTTTGCATGATTCACAGTTCAAAATAAACAAGTAGCTTTAGCTCCTCCTTCTTTAAGCCAGCTTTCATCTGATTGGCTGCTCCTTACAAATAGAGGTTTATACAGCAGGTGGAAACTAAAAGTACTAAAAACTGTCTCACACCCAGCATTTTGAGCTGTCTGAAGCCTGGGCCTTTCAGCCACGGGGATTTTACATGTTAACCTCATTATTTGAGACTTCATCCATGTTTAATATGATCTCTACCACTTTAACAGTGCATACCACATATGAGAGAAAATAAGGGTCCACTTTAAGACCTGCTTCGAAGGTCACAACTTAAAATTGCTTGTTTTATCTGCTCAGAAAATCAGAGTAGCTGGTGATAATTTCCCAATGAGCTGACCTGCTCATGAGTGTTTAGCAGCGTTTGCTGCACACACCAGCATTTTCAGCCAATGTTAGTGTTTTTATAAATACTTAGCCACCTAGACATCACTCATTAGTTTTTGGATTACCAGTTTGAAGGTTAGAGTTTGGCGTTTGGCCCAGTGCCGTCTCGGCTCTGTGAAACCGAATATGACTATATTTAGATGAGAGAATAGAGCTGATCAGCTAATGCCTAGCTAATTTGGTTAGCAAAGTGTATCTGTTATATACACAGACTGTATAAGTGAAGACAGTGCAGTTTTGATCACTAGTTTCTACTTCTACTGAAATGCAGCACAACGTTTATTGTGCAAATTAGAGTTTGAAAGCAGTATGAAGCATGGTGTGCTTTAGGGTGGGCCTACTAAGAGTTGCTGTGTAAGCATGCAACGCCTCTTAGTTTCTCTGTGAAATCCACCATCACTTATCATGTGTGGTTTCAAAACATCAAGATGACGATGCAGAAATACTGAGCTTGAGGCTTCACAGTAATGGTAAACGGTAAATGGCCTGCATTTGTATAGCGCTTTACTCAGTCCCTAAGGACCCCAAAGCGCTTTACACTACATTCAGTCATTCACCCATTCACACACACATTCACACACTGGTGATACCAGTGGCACTGAACTGCCCATTTGGTGACAGTCGGTGGTTATTTACAGTAAGTGGCTTTATTATCTTAGAAGTCAGCAGGGTTAAAAACAAAATTTTTCTTACTGAAGAAAGTGAACAGCCAACTCTTTTGATGATACTGAGAAATACTTTTGCTAGAAAATTAGAGAAATAACATCGAGAAAACAAAAGTAATATTAAGAGAGTGAGCAGAGAAAGAAAACCCCACTCTGTTTCTCATCTGTGAAAGTGGAATAGATAACTTCGTTGGACCCAGATCACCATGATCAGACTGCACCAAGTTACAAAATGAACATCATGCTGTATTAAATAAAAAATAAAATTAGCTTTGGAGACTATAAACTCATGAGGACATTATTTGCTGAGGCCTTAAATCATGTAATTTTCTCATAAACGTCTGCATCATAAGACTTCTGTTTTTGCCACTCCTGGATCCACTTTTTAGACCCAAAAGCTATGTCTTATTTTATTTTGTTAGATTTGTTCACCGCACAGCCTGACTGACTAAATGCTGCAGAGAGTGTTAGCTAAATAAGTAATGGTGAATTCAGAAGTTGAAGCCAGTCTCTGTAAACCCGTCAAACCTTGAAAACAGAATAAATACAAGGAATACTCGGCTAAATCTTTCAGTCTGTGGATTTAATGGACGCATACTTATTTGATGTACAGATTTAGATTTTAACTTTTCAGAGAACAGTTTCTTTATGTTTGCCTCCATCTTACACAAGTATTTTTGTTACTACAGCAATAGATTATAACATAGATTGAGTCAGAGCTTGTCACACCTCCCACAGACAGTTGGCCAGAATACCTGCCATCAGCAAGCTGCATGCAGAGTAGCCCCGTGTTTACACATACGCCACTGTTACTTTCATAAAGCTTCTCCACTAACTGGCACATAAATCGCTTTTTTTGGGTAATATTTTCAGAGCCTCGCTGTGCTGTAGCTCTGGTGAGTGACGGGCGGTCAGGTCCTCCAGACCTGGAGAGAGGATCGCCATCATGTCCACCCCCAACGAATGACAATCCTCCTACAGACAGGGGTGGGGTGGACAGCGAGATGGAGAGTGACACAGATGACCCGTAAGTACAAAATGTTTGTTTGTTTTTTCATTTTATGCAGAGTTTCTTTCTGGCGTGTGATGTTTTATTTGCTTGGATATTGAGGATTAAAGCCATAAAACGCACTACAGTCAGCTGACTTCAGTTCCTGTGGGCATCAAAGGACAAGCGCATGATTTGAAAGTGCATTAAGACCAGGAAGTACCCACTGCTGTTAAAGTGACCTGGAATTTCTTAATTGTTTTTTCTTTCTTATTGTTTTAAAGAGTTTTTATTCCTGTGAAGCACTTTGAACCTTTATATATGATTCAAGACTATAGAAGTGGTTGTGAGTGTACATGAGTCCAGGAGTGCCATGGGATTTTAAGTCAACCAAGCTTTATTATTTTAACTGCACGAATGGAATTTACATACATTCAGTGCCCTGAATGACACATCAAAGGTCCTGATTGGTAGAGAGGACAACATTTGTGAGGGGGAAGATTTCTTGTGTGGAGAAAACAAATAAAAACCCCTAAAGATGAAACAAAAGCTATCAGGAGAAATTACTCCAAAAGTTTCCTGTTTATGACTTCAGCTGGACTGGGGGTGTCAACGGCTTTCAGCATGAGTGTGTCATTTGTTTTTGAGGAGGTAACCACTAATGCCATTGTGCCAAATGAGTTAGAAAGGCACTTGAAGACCAAGGGTCCCCTTTCAGAGAAAGTTTGGCTACTGTAAAAGAGCACAGGATGTTAACTAGAGACGGCAAGAACGTGTGCTGGATTGTGTGGAACTGTCAGATGATGAGGAGTGGGGTTTTAGTTTTAGTGGGGCTTATTGCAAAAGCGTCTTCATCTGACAATAAAATCCAAATTGTCATTCATGTCATTCTGGATAGCATAAAGGGCTTTTTCTCTGCAGATGAAAGCTTGATTTCTCTTTGAAGAAAAGCTAGAAAACCACTGAGCTATACAAATAAAAATGGCCCGACTCTTTGCAAACAACTGCAAAGAAGGCATGCGAACAAAAACACTAATAATGATGTGCCTGCTGACCTCAAACAAGCAGCCAAAGCCTGATTTTTAACACGTAACAAAAGCAGAGCTGAGGCTTGTAGCCTCCATTACAGCACAATCTGCATGGCCTCAACATTTTCCTGCGAAGTGCACTTTGTTCTGTTTGCCCTGTGTTGATACTTAAACACTAAAAAAAGCTCTTGTGTGTAACCTCATTAGGATAGAGACTTGAGCCTGTGTGGGACTGTAGCCTAGGATTCATGTGGTTCACTGGTAATGATGCAATAAGTCGTCTCAGGCCGTGCACACAAAATAAGGAACCACAAGGATAACGTTGTGTCTTTAAAGTCTAAGCTCTTATCGATGATGACCCCAGCCCATATTCTGTGCTATCAGAGTATGTAAATATTGCTTTTGTTAAGCCGTTCTTCCAAGTGTTGGCAATGAGGAGGGGGAAAAAAGTCATTCTAAATGATACGCTTAAAAAACAAGTTGTTTTTTGCTTTTCTCCAAAATATACAGTTAGAGTTTTAAAAAAAATAGCAGATTATACGTAAGATATTACTTTTTTGAGTACAGAGGCCAACATTTATGAGTGCTGTTGGAGAAGAAGTGGAATAATCACAAAAAACAATAGATTGAATTTAAATTCAAGTGTAGAGGGTAGCGTGGTCCCCTGACCAATCAGAAGCCAGTCGACTGCCGAAGCGGTTTAGGTCTTATTTACATGCAAGTGCAGTCTTTATATCTGTCTGCTACTCACATATGAACTCAGTCACTTCTTAGAGCGAAATAGCAAACAGTCTGGAAATCTGTTTATCAGTAGCTGCTTGCTGGTCCCCTCACTTGCTGCTGAGGATATTTTATTCTAAAGTTTTTGTGTGTTTTTTTTCAGAGTCTCGCTGAAACAACAGAGTGTTGTTAACCAGGGACCTTCTGTCCCTTCGTGCTCCATTTAAATGGTGTCAACTCATTTTGAGCAAACACTTCATACATAGTGTTTGTTTCCTTTCTGCGACTCTCGGTATGACTCATGAAAGCGGGTAGTAACTGCGGATTATATTAGATGCAGTTTGTCGGTATAGTTTGAATCTCCAGCTTTAAAACTCTCAAGGACTCTACACTTGGAACAGGTGTGTTGAAATCCACCTTTGCCAGCAGAATTCAAAAGAAACAAACAACTTTTCTATCAGCTGCATCGGTGTGTGTGTGTTTAAGTGTGTGTGTGTGTGTGTGTCTGGCAGGAGTTGTATAGTCTGTGCTTGTTCATTCCTCTCAGTCTCAGGCTGTGTCTTTGCATCTGGCGGGGTTATTGCTCTTTCAGAGTGACTCAGACGAGCTGCGCGGCTGTCTGGCTGGTAGTGTGGTTATGAATGTTTCAGGGTCACTAGGCTCACAAAGGCTGCTGTCGCCAAAAGAAATAGATCAGCAATATCTTAACGTTACACTGCTTACACCTGTTATCTGCCTACATCTCAATGGAGAGGACAGCGGCATTAATAAAAACAAAAAGTCTGCACATTTAAAAAGAGCCGGTATATTACCTCCGCTACCCTGTTTCTATGTTATTCGTTATCAGCCTCTTGTTATCGGTCCATTCCCAGTCTCTTGCTTTCTTTTTCTGCTTTTGTTCACTGCCACACAAAAGTGAAACATCCCCCTACACAAGCACATTCACACATACGCCTATAAACAGTACTGACTTTACCCAAAGTCCTTCTAGAAGAAAGTGTCTCCACTTGGCAGTCGTTCCTGTTAGCAAACACTAAGGCCCTGTCTGTGCGAGTGGGGAGAGAACCATAACTTTTGCTGCATGTAAAGAATCGGTAATTAAATCTGATTAAAAACTGGCTTAAAAGTCAAAAAACTCCCGACGTTGTTTCCGTGAAATCTGCCAAACTCCCCGACGGAAGCTTGTGTGCCATGTTTAACGTGTGGTTTAAACATGACCATGCCATGAGAAAAACACTATTTAAATTATTTAACCCTCAAGTCGCCGAGCTATTTTAGTTTTAGTAACTGTGACCTCCTTACCTTAGCGTTAGTTGCAGGCTTATATTTAAGATTTTTGTTTGTACGTGTGCAGAAACATCTTCTGCAACAGCAAATGTTGCTACGCTAAATCTGTTAGCGTAGGTTTGCTTGAACACACAGACGTGGGAAATTCCAATCAAATCAGTAGCTGTGATGTCAAAAAGCACATATATATTACCGTTGGCCTTCCCACACCAATGGACCAATTGTCATTAAAAACAATGAACAGTTGGAGTAGAGGTGAAAATATTTCCTCACATAAATTTATGTCGGGAAACTTTTTTACAGTCAAAACTACCACATCAGCATATTTACATATGTGTCTGTGGCAGTGTTGGGGAGTAGCGGAGTACATATGTTATGCTATGCCCTCTATATTTTTGGTAATCCCACGCCGGTGGAAACCCCAAACAAAACACGCATTAAGAGGCTCTAATGCCTGTGTCTCAATCTCACGGCCTATGTCACCTCTACTTGCGGCCCGCATAATGACGTGACGAAATATTTTTAAAAATTATTGTTCAAATAATTATTTTTGTGTTACAGGCATAGCCTCATGGGCTACATTTAGTGTAGTCCAGTTGTAAGTAAGCTATTAAGACTCGACTGTACGCTGTGTTCATGTTTTCCCCGAAACAATAAGTTCCGTTGGAGCAGCCTTTCAACGCCTCTCTCTGTCTCTCACTAGCAAAGTTGACCTACACAACAAAGTAAAGCTAGCCCGACACAGAACCCGGCGTATTAGCCAGACGTCCCTTTACTACTACTGTTTTATATATGCGCGGAATAGTTTACTATACGAGATCGCTGCAAAAAGTGCAGCTTTACATAATGTCCACCCTACTGTTACTCATTTATATTAAGATTTAAAAATCTAGTTGGTATTGGTGTGGCGAGTAACCTTCAGTAATAGTAATAATTCACACAGCAAAAGTACATTTATGTAGCTGTAAAAAACATGATAATATATTACATTACTCTCATTGAGTAATGTAACGGAATACATTACAAAATACATTTGGGGCATGTAATCTGTAATCTGTAGTTGAATACATTTTAAAAGTAACCTTCCCGACACTGGTCTGGGGTCATGAATTGTATATTTGGCTACTTGAGGGCTAAGAGCGAGTATCTAATTTTGAAGACTTTGTACACTGTATGGACAAAAGTACCGGGACACTTATACATGTCACCTATAGGAGCTGCTCAGCCTTCACAACATGGGTTCCATGCTGTGAAGCTCCCAGTGCACAGTTTTCATGCTGATGTTAATACCAGAGGAGTTTTGAAACTCTGCAGACTGTTGAGTCAGCAGAACGGCGGTAATTTTAACACCCTTTGCGCCTCAACACTCGGCGCTCTGTAGCTCTGCGTGGTTTGTCACTATGTGGCTCAGTTGCTGTGGTTCCTGCAGTAATACTACCTTCATTTGAGAGTGGAGAGAGGAAATCTCACAACGCATCTTATTACAGCACCACGCTCAAACTCTGCAGTGTAACCCATACTTTCACAGATGTTTGTAAAGGCAGACCTCATGGCTCTGTGTTTGTGATTTTATACACCTGCGGCAACGAAAACACCTGAATTCAAACATTAAGAGATGTTTTTACATTACTTGTTGTCCATATAGTTACTCCTTCATTAGCAGCTTAGTCCAAGTCTCAGCAGAAAACCTGAATAATTCTGCACTAATCCACGTTATGGGCCACAAACACTGAAGATACAGCGAAGATACCTACACCTGCACTATAATATCGAGTTACTGTCATGAATATGAGTAGCCCACGTGTTTCCTGAATCAGCCATCGATCGGCTCTATGAGGACAACCACTGTTCCAAACTGCCTGATTGAGAGTCTCAGAGTACCATGTCTCTGAGTCAAAACTAACTTTATGTTCTTCAGCATCAGAAACAGAGACAGTACTAAACCAAATACGTTACATTTAGATTTCATAATGCCATGGTGTCAGTTATATATAACATTCCTGTTTTGGGGGGCTTTGGCATTTAATATAATTCAGCAACACCATCAAAGAGGTTTTTCTTTCACAAAATGACTGTGTTATCAGAGCTTAAAATGTGTTTTTCTTCATCAGATCTTCAAAAGTAACAGGAACACAAGTCTCTTTGTTTGGATCAATCATGCTTATGTATGTAACCTTCCCCAAAGGCTCAACCCTGATATTCTAATCAGTTAATAAAGTAAAAGTCTTAATTGTTATTTTCCATACGATGGTGCTGTGTTGTTTAAAATGTGCTATAAACTTGGCTTTGTTAATGACTGTTTTGAGGGGTTTTCTGTGTAATATCTTGGCAGACATTTCTTAAGCTTGTTATTCCGATAATATCTTTTTACCCCATCCTAACTCTCTGACTCATTATTGTGTTTTTTTTTTTTATATTTCCTTGTTTCCCATAGCTTAATCATTATCTCCATGGACACTGTAAATATTACTCTTGTGCCTTCATCTGCTTTTGTTTATTTATTCTTTCTTTTTCTTGTGTTTGCCATATTTGCCAAAAATGTTGAGTAGAAAAGAAAAGGAGAAGAAAAAAAACACCATATTCATGTAGTCACAGCTTGACACCGAGTTCACTGTCTAACAGACTTTCTGTCTGCCTGCTCACAAAAGCTTTTCTTCTAAACAGAGTTTTTTATTATTATTTCCTTTTATCTGACACCAAGTGTAGCAACAAGATTTCCTGTGTTTCCTGTCGCTCTCAGGAAAAAGTCTGAGAGTCAACACTAAACTATTATTCTTCTGCAGACGCCCTCAGATAATCTTTTCTAATACTGATAACTGGTATGTTCACATTTTAATTCTTAGTATTTCTACATTCCTGTAAGTTTCATTACTTCCCCCTACGTCAAGTTTAATATCATAATTAAATGTTTAATTTTCCAATTAATCGACACTAAATCCGTCTTTTGTTTTTTCTCATAAAATGACCAGTCATGTCTTTTGAAGATAAGGTTAGCGTTTCGTTTACTTGTCATTATGAAACTGCTCATTCATACGTAACAAAAAACTGTCATCAGCTGCAGCAACAGCTGTAAAATCATGTTTTTCTATTGTTGTGTTGATAAAAATAATCTAATATTGTACAGTTTAGTCAGGTTTCTGTACTTGAGTACAGTGAACTCTTATCAACACCTGTACAGTTCTTAATAAATTCATTAGACCACCGCACAATGAAAGGTTTATTTCTCAGCTACACTAAATTAACAGTATTAGTAATGACCAAAATCATTTTTTATGTTTCTGTAGTGGTTGTTCCACCAGTATGTGCAATCTCTTTAATCAGAATTGTATTTTTAATACTAAAATGTACATTTTCAAATGTACTGCTTGACGAAAAACTCAAAATATAGTAATGTCCATGATTATTTTTTGATTCACATGCCGAATTACAGTTATTTACACGCATTTATGAGCAGAAAAATTTGTTTTAGAAGTTAAATGTCACACTTGATTAATGTCTGACTTTTTTCTGAAACTCAGTTAGTTTTTTCTGTTTTTTCTCCCCTAATCAATACCGATATAATTTTTAGTTTTACACAAAGCTTTGACAGATTTTTAAAAATATTTCTGTTTTCTTGGTGGTCTATAAAAAATCGTGTCAAGCAATGAATGCATATGGCTTATTAACACTTTCTCATCCCTGTACCGATACCCATGCAGTTTCTGCTGATCCAATACAGTCTTTTTCACTTTCGTGAGCAACTAAAATACTAATACAAAGAAACAAAAACTAGATAGAATCAACACTCAGTCTAACCACTATCACAGATTAGTTAAGCATTTGTGCATTCTATCAGATTTCTTTTTTCTTTTTATTATCTGATGCTTGTTTTCCTCTGACACCACTGCTCAAAACAGCAAGCAAACACTTTGATTCAGCAATACTTGGAATTAAAAAAAAAAGCATTCAAACCATTTTTTTAGCTTGTGAAAGAGTTTATTTTTGGATGTTTCTTCCTTTGGTGATAGTTAATACTTCCAGTATTGTATTCACAACAACAATCTCTGTTTTCTGCAATCACGATCACCTTATACTCATGGATGATTATTCCATGTATGGTTAAACAAACCTGATCCCACCTGATACCCTCATAATCAGCTAATTTATTTATAATTTTAGTTAATGTGAGTTATATAATAATTACAAAATTTGAACTTCATATTATGAACATGTTCTGAGTTTCAGGCCCTCAGAGTACATAGAGGTGGGTAGTGATTTGGTCCCATATCTGCCATGTGTGACTGTTAAAAACTGTAACCAAATCTAAAGCCAAAATCATGTTTTAGCCCAGCATGATTTTTCTGTTAGAGACTCAAAGCAGCCTAATATAAACAACAGTAATGTTGAAATAATATTAAAAAAAGTAAAGCACATCACTGCATTTACCATTTATTTTAACTGCTGTTTACAGCAGCAGGTCAAACTAATGTATGTTTATGTATGTTTGGTTCCCTTTTCCCAGAACCAGTTCAGTGTCTCGGGGGGAAAATGCAGTTTCGTAGCAGAAAAAGCCGTTTCAGTGGAATTCACTGAATACAATCTCAGTAGTTAGCAGGCTTAATGATAGCGACGGTCGCTTTGAGGTGTCTGCACAGAGCTGAAACGCTACTAAAAGACAATATCAGCCACAGTCTGATCACCCTGCTGCCCTGTGGCAAGGGATACAAAAGTGTTTGCTGCTGAACCACAAGACTTTGAAGCCGTTTGTTTCATCAGTCTGAGACGACTCATCCACCACATTCCACCGCAAACCTTTATTTCTATGACTTAATTATTTATTCATTAATTTATATCTTTTGTTTGGTTTTTTTGTGAGTAGCAAAGGGGATGTTTTAAAAAACCCAGCCTTGTTTTGATATTTAGAAATTACCACCGAGTCTCGAAGAGGTGAGAAATGTCGTGCCAACTAAATTTACAGCAGATGAAAGATACACGAAGTGGAAAAAGCAACACGAATGGAAAGAACTGCTCCATTATTTCATGATTGCATAAAAAACTGCAGGTAACCACTAAAAAGGAAACATTTTTTGTGGTTTCTGCAGCACGACATTTCATACTGGTTAAGTGGTTACTTCATATGAAACGCCACAGTGAGCTGAACCTTCCCTTCCTGCAGCAAATTTGTGAAACAAATTTAAAACATATGAGGTGGAGGAGTGAGATATCTGAATAAGCAGGCACTACTGCATCAGAGACCCTTCTGCTGCATTGCTTTCCTGACTTGGAGTATGTAGCCACACTAGTATGCTTTTATATTTAAAAGGTGTAAATGTTACTCCAGAAAACCCTAAAACACAGACTTGTGATATCAGTGCTGACCTAGTTTTAGTTTCCATACTCTGGGATTGTTTTATAGTTAGACTGGAGACAGATTCGCTCCCTGACTGGGGCTTATCGCTCTCAGAAAATAAACATTAAAGCCAGGCTCACATATGCCTGGCGATGTAAGTCTTCTCACGTCTGTATTCATTTTACATTTTTGTGTCATCACTTGATGATGGATACTCATCCCAGTAGGACTCTATTGTGTTGCTATATTCGCTTTGTAATGACGAATATACTTCAAGTGTCACAATTTCTAGCCAAAATCACATTTTGTTAGAATGACTTTTGCCAACTTTGAGGATCAGTATCATAAGCTATGTTGAAATTTAAATAGCAAAACTGAACTGCATTTTAAATGTTCCTGTGGGGTAGGGGGCTCTTCATGAAAGGTCTCCCTTTTACATTTATGATACCAGGATCATCTTCTATCTAAAGTTATTGTAGGGAAAAATGGGAATGTCAAGGGTGGTCCTCACAAAGGAATCTCTGGTCTTTCTTTTGAGTTCTTCTCCTGTAATATTTTCTGTGTCACTCTGCTTCCTGTCAATGCAGTCATTCGTGGATGGATATTATTTTTTGGGAAACTGTGGTAAAACGTCTGGACAGAGGATAAAGCCTCAGACTGAGGAATCTCCCTTGAATTCCCGTCTCAGTCAGAGTCTCAGTTTCACTTTTCTTTCTGTGTGGATGCAGGTTTTCCCCGGGTTTGGCCAACGATCCATCGCCTTCCACTGGAACCATTAAGAGACGCACACAGTCCCTCAGTGCACTGCCTAAGGACGGAGACAGAAAGGTCAGTCCGGAGTGCACCCAGTCAACCAGCAGACAAGATGTAAAAAATAGAAGTGGAACACCAGATGGTGATTGCTTGTTAAATGTCACTACAATAAACACTCATGTCCTCTGCCAAACTTTAACCAGAGGGAAAAGGACCACATCCGCCGTCCCATGAATGCCTTCATGATCTTCAGTAAACGCCACCGGGCCCTGGTGCACCAGCGACATCCCAACCAGGACAACCGCACAGTCAGCAAGATCCTGGGCGAGTGGTGGTACGCTTTAGGGCCCAATGAAAAGCAGCAGTACCATGATCTGGCCTTTCAGGTAAACGAACACCCTCAAATTCTTCTTCTTTCCTCCTATTTTATTACTTCTGTGCTTTTTCTTGTAATGAATTGGTTAAATGTTTTGAATTGAGTTTACTGCTAACAAGTCTAACACATTAGCCGCTGTAAACATCCAGTTTCAAGTGGCTTCTCTGTAATTATCAGATAAAAAAAAAACTGGGGGAAATTTCACGAGCTGTGAAATCTGCACAGCTGGTATTCAGAAACTGAAACTGCATCAACAGAAAGTTGAAGACCTTTTCTCCTCCTCCTCTTCATCTTTCTCCTCATCCAGGTGAAAGAGGCCCACTTCAGAGCCCACCCAGACTGGAAGTGGTGTAACAAGGACCGCAGAAAGTCTTTGTCAGAGGGCCGGGGTACCCCAAAGGAGCCACGGGAGCGGAGCATGTCAGAGAGCATAGGTGTGTGATGATCACCTCTAATCTGCATTTTTAAGCTAAAGGGAAAAAAACCATCTGTGAATCGCTACGAACCTTCATAAGTTCTGCAGTGAATTTTAATACCAACTGTTGCTATGAAGCATTGTTTTTTAGATCTTCACATAATTTATATGTATAAAACGTATCGAGTTTGCTAGCTGTAATATAGTAATATTACGAAATTTAACAATTTTTCCAAGCAAGTCAAAAAAATACTGGTGAACTGTACAAATCCATTTCTTACTCAGGTGATTTTACATTTTCATACCCACAAAAAAAAAAATCACCACATCAAAAAGCAAAGCAGCATGAACAGATTATAGAATGACCCCAGTCAGCTGGCAAGTTCAGATCAGCACTCACCTTTTTTGTCTTGGTGTGACATAAACACACCACTTTAGGTTACACCTGTGCTCTTTTGCCCCTCCCTAAAAGCTCAAACTCACTCTGTTTTCAGGAAAGTCGAGTCAAAGAGAGCTGTTGTTTAAAAAGCTCCATCTAGAGGAAATAAAACTCACAATGTTTCTCTAGATGAGCCAGGTAAAGGCTGAATATCAGTATTAAATTATCACAAAGTCATTGTGATTAGGATTATTTGCTATAATGGAGTAGCCTCGTCTTCAGTATTAAAGGGATTTGCTTGTATTTTATTATAAAATGCACAAAGCGTTACACACATTTGTATCAAGTGTCAGGCTTTTGTTCAGTATGGACAACAATAACTAAACCCTTCGACTGTCAGAATATAAAGGAGCGTTTCTGAGTATAAACGTATTGATTTGAAGCTGTATTGATCCGCTCCTTGATGATTCAATGTGATATTTGATCTTTGTTCTGAGTCTGCTCTTCTCTCTTCCCCAGATGCCCACTCAGAGTCCCAGGTGCTGGAAGGGAAGGGGGGAGGCTCGGGATGGCCGGGGGCATCGGAGCGTCGAGGAGGGATGTTTGGGGGGCCGTCTCACCGTCCCCGAGCCTTTTCCCAGAGTGCAGTGCACACCCTGGAGCAGAGGGAGTGGGAGAGAGACCTGGAGAAGGTGCGAGGTTGTTAATCTGTAGCTGCCAGGCAGCAAACAGACTCAGGAGATTTAAGACTGTGAAGAAAGCTGTTTCAGATCACTGGATACCACCAACTGGTTACTTACCAAACAGTGTAATTTCTCAGAAAAACACCCACGTAAATCTATTTAATGTGTCAAGTTGAGTGTATTTAACAAGTTTCTTAGAGCAAAATCCCAGAGTGAAATGAAGAAGAAGCAACAGAGTGAAGTAACTTAAAGAAACCCACATGAACTCAGCGGTTGCAGTGTTTGTGTGTGCCTCTGCACGCACACCGCAGACGTGTGTCCCTCAGACCGCAGAGCGTTTTGGCCGAATGCTGTTCAAAAGCAGTTCAAATGGACTCGCTCGATGCTTTGTGTGAGGGCTCGAGTTGTTGCTGCTGAAAACCCAGTGGAAGCTCTGGGGGAGAGCAGCCTCCAACTTCAAAGGTTTCGCTTTCTACTTTTTGTGTGCCTTTGAAGGTATGAGACTGGTGTTTGCTGCTTCGCTCCTAATCACAGAGGAGTAGGCCTACATGCGAGCGCTTTTGTCTGAAGGCGTTCATCTGATGCCACGGGCGTAAAGAATGTATGCATGCTTTAATAATAGCTGCATTACTTCTGTCTGATTTCTTTAGAGTTTATAAACAGCGCATCTTCCAACACTAACACCTTTTTCACGGGTTTCTCCCATATTTTAAGACAATCCTGTTTTCCTCCATCTCTCGGGGGAAACTCCTGGGGATTTGTGTGAGTCTCAGACTTTATTGTAAATAATTGGAATACATGCATCTGTTACCAAGGTTACCTCGTCTGCCAGATTGTTTGTGAAATGCTGTCTACATGCAGAATTCACACGCCACATGTAATTTTAATGAGATTTTAATCCATCTGTAACCCACAACATGCATTAAGAGGTGTCTGTTTCACAGCAACATGCATCAGAAAGGTGACTTTAAAACACAGCAAAATAAATAATAATGCCTCGAGCAATGTGTGCGAGTTGCTGACTTCAGTGAAGTTGGAAAGAGGAACCTAGACCAGGATATGTGCACACATTAAACTAATGTCTAGGTCTGCTTTCTTTCATCTGTGCAAAATCTCTAAAATTAGAAACATCCTATCTCAGACGGATGTGAAAAATGAGCTCTTGCATTTGTTACTTCGAGACTGGACTGTTGTAATTTCTTACTATCATTAGGTTGTTCTAAAAGCTCCTTGAAAAGCTTGAGCGAGGCTCAGTTGCCGCAGCGAGAGTACTGGAAAGAGAGATCATATTTCTCCCGTACTGACTTTTCTTCTTTAGCTCCCTTTTGAATCCAGAACTGACTTAAAATCCTTTTTCTCACATACAAAGTCCTAAATGATCAGGTCTTGCTGTAGATTGAGAAGCCTCATAGTATGATATTATCCCAACCGAGCACTTTGTTCTCAGACTGCTGGCTTAATTGCGGTTCCTCGAGTTTCTAAAAGTAGAATGGGAGGCAGAGCCTTCAGCTATCAGGCCTCTCAGCTCGCAGTTTGGATTCAGGAGAGAGACACCGGCTCTACTTTTAAGATTCAGCTTCAAACTTTCCTTTTTGATAGAGCATATAGTTAGGGCTGGATCACACATTCCTGAACCATCCCTTAGGTACGCTGCTATAGCCTCAAGCTGCTGGGGGACTTCCCGTGATGCACTGAGCATTTTGTTCCCCCCTGACCTTTTTACACACTTTTCACTGCATCTCAGTAATGTTTGTCTTCTCTCTCCCATAGTCTGTGGTATTTATTTGTCTTCTATGCTTTCCCTTTTTTACTTTTCTCTCCCCCGACCATCCCAGGAGATGGCTGCCCTTCCCTGACCCTGATTATGTTGCAGGTCTCTTCCTGTCAGAAGGGACTTCTTCCATCCTACTGTCATCGAGTGCCGCTTATTTATCTTACAGTATAAAGCACCTTAAGGCAGCTGTTGTGAATTAACGCTATAGAAATAAAACTGAATTGAACAGCCACAACTTGAGGTTTACAAATCAATTACTCATACATGAAATATTGTAAAACCACCAAAGATACCCCTCCCCACTCATATTAAATTACACAACTAGTTGCAACCAAATTAGGACAAATAGTGATATCTCTGTGCCGTGAGAAGAATGTGCAGGGACCAAAAACACAGAGTAGTTCCAGATCACTGGTTATACTGCAGGACGTAGCTTAAAAATGATTTATTTTACATTTTTCAGGGCAAACTTTATTTAAACATTCAGTAACTTTAGTGGCACTCTGTGTCACAATCACTATAAAATACTTTTGTTTTCCTAAAAAAAATAAATCTCCCATATTTTGGACATAAATGTTGGCTGGTGTCATTCAGTGTCGGTGATATATTTTAGAGAAATCACTTCATGTGCCGTCTTTCTTTCTCCACTTTCAGGAGGACGGCACAGGTTTGTTTCGCGGCCGTCCACCGCCTCAGTCGCTGTACCAGGGTGGGGCCAGCGAGGACGTGACTAGCGATGAGGAACGCATGGTCATCTGTGAGGAAGAGGGAGACGATGATGTCATGGGTGAGTGAGATTATCTGCAGAGTGATTTTAGTGAGGTTACAGTTTCATAACCAGAGAGTAATAGTTTCAGTTCCCATGATGGCCAGTAAACTTCTGTTTTCTTACTCAGTGTGACTCTGTCAGCAAATACCTAATGCTTGAAAAAAAAGTGTCTCTGTCATGCAGCCCTAACACTTCAGCTGCTAATTGCTAGTCTTAAAATATCACGACCACAACAGCACATAATTCCCAGTGTAGCTGTGAAAGTCTGCAGGCAGCCTTAACAACCTTTGTCTCATTTGCTGTACAGAAGAAATCAATTCATAGTCATAGGTGTAGATTTTCCAGTCAACCTACAGGATACTTCCTTTTCACTATTATAAACATGTGTGTTTCACTACGCCCAGTAGGAAGCTGAAGACTTTTGTTGTTAAAAAAATAATAATAATGACGTGACTCATAAGTATAACAATGCCTCTGACAGGGCAGGTCTCTTTCTTCGTCATTAATCTTCCTCTGTGAGCTCACGCAGCTACTAGATCTTTTGTGACACAAGTAAATATCCCTGTCACGCACACAAACACGTGGTATTAAGGATCTGCAGGAGAGAGCATGCCAATGCAGGAAACTGAGGCAAGATTAATAAACAAAAGGCAAGGTTTAAATGGCTGATAAATACTTAGAAGAGTCCAGTTAGGTCCAGTATTTCACAATAAAAGCAGAAATCTAAAGCAGACACATAGAAGGAAAAAACATAAATAGCATTAAAAAATGGATGTAGCCACCATGATGTCACCCACTGGTTGGTGAAATCCCACCGTTTTGGTGTGACGAGTGTGGGAGCGAAAGTGTTTACAGCAAAGGCCGTTTTCACATGGACGTCTATATAACTGGAACCAGAGGCGTCGCCCCCTGCTGGTCATTAGAAAGAATGCAGGGTTGAAGCTTCACTTCTGAAGTGACGTTACCGCCATCTTTTTTACAGTGTGTGGATAATACTGAGAAAAACTGAAAGCTGAGAGTGGAGAGACAAGAATACAGTGGGTATATACACAGGACTGAGTGGACACAACTGAATACAGATGAAACTAATGAGGGCGGGGCAGCAATCACAAAGGAACAATAGGCAAAGACAACGTCATCACCAAAATAAAACAGGAAATAAGAAGAAAGAAGGAGATTGACACATGGACAAAACAGGAGACAAAGACAAGGAAATATGACACACTTTGAAATAGAAGAAAGAGTATCAGTTAAATCGAAACAGGGAACATAAAGGAAAGGAAAAGGAAAAAAGACCTGACTTAGAATAGAAAGAATTCATTCATCACTGAGGCGAATACGGGACATAAGCACAATTAACAAAAGACCCAAAAGAAGGCAGAGTAGTGAATCGTGCCTGCGTGTGTGGATTCAGCAGGTGTATGTGAAATAAAACAGGAATAAAGAAATCAGGAATCCTCAGAGCTTCTGTTCTATTTTTAACTGTTATGAACTGTAATAAAGACATTTCAGCCAAAAATTCATGAAAAAGCCTTAAAGCGCTGGATGCTCTCACACATGAGACTCAATGTGTCCACCACTCGCAAACATCCGAACAAAATCTAAACCCACGAAAGGTTTGAAGTGTGCTGTGTGTGTTTTGTGCACTTGTGCCGATATTTTTTGAAGAGAGTAAATAAGAAAGAGATCAATGAAATTGATAAGGCTAAAATGTTTTGTAGGTGAATAAAGAATAATTATTCTAATAATAAAAGGGGTTGTGTGATATTTCACCCTCAGAAGATTCATGTCCTGAAGGCTCCATCGACCTCAAGTGTAAAGAGAGGGTGACAGACAGCGATGAGGATGAACCAGATGGACAGGTACGTGCAGGGTTTAAAGAGATGTTCATTCAACATGTGTTTGTCTTATTTGACTTGTTCTTGGAGTCTGTAAAGTTTGAAATTTAGCACAAAGCTCTTTCTGTTTGATCGAAAGTGATTCTGAGTCATCAGCGTTAAATTAGCATCATATTGTTGGTGCTTTGTTTTAAGCCTTTTTCTGCATTTCTTTATTCCCATCGAGCATTAAAAACCCACAGACTTTTCAAAGTTACTGTAAGTTGAGAAGAACTTCACATATTAACTTTCCCCCTTTGATCTCTGTGCTTCTCTCTTCCCTCCAGCATGGCTTCCAGCCTGTGGCTCGCTCCTCTCTCCCCTCCTCCTCTCCCTCCATCATTCACTCCGACTCCTCCTCGGCTAAAGGGAACGGTGGCGGTAACGGAGGAGGTCCTGAAGACGGGTCAGAGAAGAAGAGAAAGAGAGGCGCAGATGGAGGAGAGGATGAGAGCGAGGGAGCCCTAAAGACAGAGCAAGTGGCAGCGGGTGGAGGAGAAGGAAATGGAGGAGGTGGGCAGGATGTCTCCTCTCTCTCCATCTCCCAGCCTCCTCCACCGCTGGCCCAGCAGAGTTTGACCCCGGTCGGCGTCCGCATGGCCCCCACGATGGTGACTAACGTTGTGCGCCCCATCGCCAGCACGCCCATCCCCATCGCCAGCAAGCCGGTGGAAGGAGCCATCACCCTCAGCACCCTGCCACAGGACAAGAAGGCCACTCTCCTGATTGGGGGTGGAGGTGCTCAGCAGCTGCCGATCACAGCAGGGGGTGGGTACCTGTCGTCCTCCTCCCCTGGTCCAGTCAGTGTAACCCCTGTAGGAGGCAGCAGCCTGATCACTAGCCTAGGTCTGGGACCCGCTCAAGCAGTGGAGCTCCTCTCCCTACACATCCAAAGCCCCCTACCTGTCCTCCAGCTCCACCCCACTGCTGCCACCACCTCTTCTCTCACACCTCCCGCCTGCCCCACGACCCCGGGACAGGCGCAGTACATCCTGCCCACCGAGAGCCCCTCCTCCCCTCAACTCACTCACCAGCAAATCCTCTCCCTGCCCGCAAATGCCGCCCTGGCCAATGGCGTGCACTCGGGGGCGGGAATCAGAGTCAGCCCCGGGACTAGAGGTGAGACAGAGAGCAACGATTGGCTGAGAGAGAAAAAAAAATGGCAAAAAAAAGTAAAAATGTCTTTCTTTGATTTTTCTTTCTGCTGCTCTTCCCTTCACTACAGTAGATTTGATTGGCTTACATAAACGGGAGATACATGATTGACATGAGTTATGAGTGCCCGCCGCCCGCCCACGTCCTAATCACTCTCTGTTCATAAGAAGCAACAGGACGTCATTCCACCTTGTTATCAGCAAGGAATTTCACTAGCATCTGTAGCTGAAATGTTCCCTCCGTCTCAGCGTGTCTCCACCCACCGCCGCTCCTCTGATGTCTTCACCTCCCCTCTTTTGACTCGATTCATCTGTTCCTCACGCTGAGTGATTTAATTCTCTCTCTCTCTCTCCCTGCTTCTCACTAATCAGTCCAAACCCAGTCGCCAGTCTTGCAGAGCAAGATGTTGGTTCCCATGGCAACAGTGAGAACCGGGTCTACTCCTCCTCATCCTTCCATTTCCCTGGTGGCTCCGCCTCTTCCCGTGCAGAACGGCCCTGCGACAGGAAACAAGGTAAGAACACGGTGTCAGAGATAAATACCTGCCAGCCCGGTGGCTCGGAGCAGCAGCGACGTTAAAACCCGAGTGAGGCGACAACAAAGCAGATGACACGAGGACGTCCACGCGTGTTTTACTCATCTGATTTGGAGCAAAATTTTCTTTCTTAGTAAGAAAATTAGATTCACACATTACAAGCAGCCTTTTACTCCTATTTGTGAAGTTGTGTTGAGCGTTATTTAAATTAAAAGATCATAAAAACTCCATGTGTAGAATCATCAGTCAAATCTGATGTCAGAGTGCTAAATTTGCTACAGAATGAGGTTTTAAAAAGCTTTCTTTCCTCTGAAAGTGAAACTTCTACCTCTTACTTCAGCCCTCTTTGTGTTGCAGACTTAGGGTATTTTTCAAATCAGAATAATTTGAATGCCATGTCTCCTTTTTATAATATCTCTTTCAGTGCTCAAGGACACCCGATTTGTATCGTTAATCAGGGGACCTATTATGCTGATTTCCATCTCCATGTTTCTTTCTTGGACTTTATTTACAAGACAACTCTTATCTTATACTGAGTCAGTTCATGCACCGTCTGAAAGAAGCTATTTTATCTCTATGATGACAATATAAAGATATCAAGTCTTTTGACAGATCTCTATAAGCTTTTTAATTAGATGATGGTCGTTAACATTAGTGAGGGGGCTGTCACATTTGTGGCTTTGTTTCTAATTCTTAGGAAGGAATTAAACTTTCTCACAAGAACAGAAAAGTTTAGTAATTGTGCTTTCACACCGTGACCTGAACTGAGGGCGAATTACATGTACGCCATTGCTTTCTTTGTTTTTCGAGCTCAAAGGTCTGCTTGAGATGTTGTTATAGGCTCAGAAACCCGGCTTTAATTCTTTTGATTTCTCACAAAAAATACATTGTATGTTTATAGCTTTTAAATACTGGATACATGACAGAGAGATGATAAAATATGAAACCTGTTCTCTAAAAAACTGAAACCTGGTGAGGAATTAATGGTGTTTTTCTGATTCCCCCACTCCAGATCATCCAGATCGCTTCCATGCCTGTTGTGCAGACCAACGTCCACCCTAGCGGTGCAGCAACAGTACATCCTGGGAGCCCCTATCCTGTTTCCATGGCAACGGTGATGACTCCCGGTGCTGCGCCCCCACAGACCGTTCTCCTGACCTCTCCACCCACCAGGTCAGTAACACAGGCCTAACACCTGAAAGACGAGCAAAACGTGCCCTGACTAAACTTTACTGGACTAATGAGTGAGCTGGTCAGAAAGGACTCAGAGACACTGGAGTTCAACAACTTTAAAAGATGCTGTCAGATATTGATTTTAGCTGGGTCATGCCATCGTTTAATGTGCTGCAAATGCAGATAAAGAAAGTCAACACTTTGAGCACGATTTAATCCTCCATTATCCCTTGCAGCCATGTGAACTATGACACCAACTATAAAAAGCCTTAGACTTTGCAAAAGAGAACTGCTACATACGGAGAAGTTTCTGAAAGTTTCTTTAAAGCTGGAATCATGACTGAGTATTTTATAGACAGTAAACAGATTTACACCCAACATTTAAACCATATTTATTAAAACAAACCCAATATTTATCTGATCCAGCTGCAAATTAATATTTTCTTCATACAGACTGTACAGGGGATGAATTTTGACTTACGTTTTAAGTACTGTTAGCGTCTTAAGTTATGTAACTACACAACTAACAATACAACTAATGAGACAGCAAGCAGCTAACTGATCCAATTTTAGAGCCTTCTGGAGAATTTTAATGCATTTATGCAACACATCACATGGTTTGCTGTGCAATTAATTATACTAACAGACTGTGTGAGTTAGCTTTGGTGAGTTAAATTCTAGTATGCTGTTAGTCTGTTAGCAGATATGTGTCTGTGCATTGCAACCATACAGTTCATGGATGCAACTGTCTATTCAGTTACTTAGCTCTCCACTCGCTTGTCTTGTAAAACAATAACAGGGCTAGAAAACAGCATGGCAGAGGCAGGATAAGAGGGCATGAACACAGTCTGACAAAAAACAGACAGGTTAAATATACACAGAGGGCTGACTGGGTAACAAAGCAAAGGTGAAAGCAGTTAAGAAAGGCAAGTCAGACAATCAGGAAAGGAGGGAAAAGTAACAAAGGCAGGAAGTTAGATTGCATTAAAACACACGACTAACCTAACTTTCAGAGTAAAATAGGCCGATTACTCACTGGCAAACATGAAGTCAAAGTCAGATAACGCAGAAGGAACTAGAAAACACAAAACCGACAAATTAGGACCATGATGCCGGTGGCTACGACCGTCTTTTACGTACGCTAATCATTTTATTATTATTTTATGTATTTTTTCTGGTCACTACTGATATGGCTTTTTTCTCGTCCAGGATCACGTATGTTCAGTCAGGTCCAGGTGTCACCACGGCAACGCACCAGCAGGGTCCACAACCCCCTGGTCCTGCATATCTCCAGTCTTCTCTGGCAACCCTGGGCTTCACCGCCATCGCCCCAGCTCCACAAACCCTGGTTCAGCCAGTCGTTGGTCAGCCTCCGCTACTCGCCCCAGCTCAGCCTCTAAGCTGTCAATCACAGAGCTCTCCGGGACAGACAGCGGGCACCACCGGTCGTCAGGTAAAAAGAGATTTGCACAGTATCAAATATCACTACAGTTTAGAGGTGTGAGAGAGAAAGTAATGATAAAGATGTGAAAACAATTACAAAATCAGTCTTCATGTACATGTTTAAGTACCAGACTTCTTCTAAAACAGACCCCAGACAGTTCAAAGTGACTGTCTCACCTGCTGAAGGACTTCAGGGTGGTAACGCCCTCCTGTTTGTACTCTACATCCATGACTGCATTCTCAAACATGTCGCCATCATTGAATGCAATAATTAGAATTCATATTAGAGAGGAAAATCAATAATTACTCAGTGTGGTGCACAGAGAACAAGATGCACACTGTAGGCTTTGTAGCCCCTGTTTTGGATGAATTCCCACCATCTCTCTCGGCAAAGTCTAAGTCACCACAATCATTAATCCCGTATTTGGACGTGGCTGTTAATTTTAGAGAAAGAGAGGCCTTATTCTAACTGGAAACATCACAAACCAGTATGAGATGTGGATTTCCAAAGATCAAAAGGCTCAGCGGATGAATAAACCCACCCAAAACATCACAACATCACTGGGATCAGCGAACCAAAAAAAGAAACTGTCCAACCTGCTGCCATCTGTCAAGCAACACAGAAATAAAGTAAAAATAACTATATTAACCCAACTTAAGTAATTACTCATTTATTTTATTAAAATGCTAATAAAAAAAAGTACTTCTGTAACTCGAGGCTGTAGCTTACTTATACCACTTTGTGTTGCCGTCAAAGTCACTGCTATGTTTTGGTTTTTCTTTTTAAAGCACACACTACAGACTAGTTTTCCTCACTCGCCAGTGGAATATGAAATAGTTAAACGTCACCCGAGCGCAAAACAAAACAAACACACAGTAATCAGCCTCAACACTAAGCCCACTGACAGGTGAAGTGAATTAGATCATCTGGTTACAATGTGATGGTCTGCTGGGAAACCTCGTGTTCTGGCACAGTCCACAAAATCTTCCCGATCAAGCATCAAAACAAGCTGGACATACAGATCCCAAAAGTATCGTTGCCATTGTCCAGGAGTTCACGGGACGCCAGCAAGGACCCGGTGCAGGGAGGGGTCAGACCTGTTTTTGGCAGCATCGGGTGGAGTGTCTTTTCAAACACTGCTGTTGTTCACTTCAGTCTATTTCACCCGCTGACATGCCTGGTTTCCTGTTTCCTTCTTCAGGTACTAACTGCCATCTACCCTGCACCACCCGTTGCTCTGCCCACTGGCGTGGTCTCAGTGACGCCTGTGCCGCCTGCAGGGGCGGCTCCAGCTCAGGACGTGGCGAACCCTCCCTCTCCGCTCGCTGTAGGGCTGCAGGGTTCAGCGGTGGCGACCCCTCACCCTGGCATGGGAACAGAGGTGGAGGTGAAGCACGAGAGCCAGCTGGATGCTCAGAGTGACGCTCAGGGGTTGTCGAGCTGTGTCACCAGCTCCTCGATGGGCACCTGTACAAGCAGCATCATCGCAGGTAACGGTCCACTGATTTAGAACACTGGTGGATTTATTTGTACTTATCTTATAGTGTAATGTGGGCTTCATCAGACGTCCACTTCTAAAGGAAAATTACAGCAATGTGCAAGATTTTTAACTGGATAAGTAATTTGGTAAAAATGATCTATTTTGTGTTTTAGTGAAAAAAGAGGAGGACACCACTTTGCGCATCAAAGAAGAAAATTTGAGGGATGGATATGAGAGAGAGAAACAAAGTGAGATGGACGACGAGCGAGAGAGCTGTGAAAAGAAGCGAGGCAGAGAGACGGAGAGAGAGGAGCTCAGCACGGGCAACAGCAGCAAAGAGGTGAACAAAGCCGTGTGGGGCCTTCACTCATACTATAATAATACTTTTTATATCTGAAGTTTTTATCTGTTTACCATATGTTTCTCCGAGCGAATCAGAATCAAATCAAAAAATATCTGTGAACGATACAGATTCTTTTTCAGAACTTGTGTGAAGTGATTTTGGAAGTTTTCACAACAAATCACAATTTTGAAATACAATTAAGAGATTTTTGAACAACCACAGATCAAATCATGGTAGTCGAGATAAAGTGATCATTTTTTACATTTCACTTTTCTCCCATGAACCGAGTTTCCCGTCCTAAAAGGTCATGCCAGCTCCAGATGCTGCCTTCATCTACCACTATAAAATTAAAAGGAGGACTGGTGATATTTCAAACAACATATAGACAGATGCGCCTTGAGATTTTGGCTCACCCTTCAGTGTGCATTGGGAGTGTCTGTAAGTCATTCACTTAGAGGAAGTAAAATGTTTCGACATTTGAGCCTGAGAGAGAATCAAAACTGTTGCAGCTGCTTTTGTCTCTGAATTGCATCAAATGTCCGTCATGTAGTCTAATTCCAGCAGCTCTCCTCTGTCATCCTGCCCCCCGTCCTCCACCACAGACATCCTGCAGTGGAGTTCCTTGAACTTTAAACCTTAAGTTATTACAATTTTTGGCCAAAATCATTCTGCGTTCACAGGAGAGTTTAAAAAGCTCCTCATGTCCTCAGAAACAACCACACCAACAGTGCAACCTTTAACAGATGAAAACCTCGCACTGTGTTCCCAGGCTGGACCTCGTTCCCCACCTCCACCACTACCCTCAGGTTTGGACCCCCCTCCTCCTCCACCTGTAGAAAGAGATCCTCCCTCTTCCTCAAAGAAGACCAAGTTTCGGCCCCCGCCACTCAAAAAGACGCCTGACTCTCATGACAAGTAAGTGGGCTGATAAACCTTTATGTCAGAAGACTCCTGAGATTCTAACGTTGCTTCTTATATTTTCTACAACTGTGTGGGTTTGTTGGTTTAAGCAACCTCAGATTCGGACTGTATAAACTGATGTGAAACAGGTAAGTATGCATTATAATGAAGCCAGATTCCATCTTTGGCTGCAAGAAAAGCTTTTATTAAAGTCCAGATCTGCTCTCGCCGTGGTCAGACTGAAGTTTCATGGAATCGTTGCCAAATCAGAGAAAAATAAGCCAAGTCTGCCAGCTCTTTCTGGCTTTCTGGTCTTGGTAAAAATAAAAAAATAAAAAGACTTCCTTTCATTTTAACAGTTTACATATTTTCAAGCTGAGAGAGCGCATACAACAGGAATGAATCTTATGTAATTTTGGCAGCTTGAAGGGAAACTAGCAGCACCCTGGACAGGACTCCATTTGTTGACTTTATTAATGAGCACTCGTTTTAAAGCGTAGTGGCATCCAGGTCTGTTTTTAGTGCACGGCCAAACCTCCAACTTTCTAAGATTATGGTGGAAACTCTGTTTACTGAATGTGAGTGGGCAGAGTGCTTACTCTGGATGTTCTTTATTTAGATGGTAGGAAAGTAGCACGGAAGCCGCAGAGGCGAGAAAGTCACGGCAGAACTCGGCCTTAAGGAATGCGAATACATTCAGAAGTCGTCCCTTGATACTTGAACCACCGCACAACTGGACTGTGTTTGTGTGTGCAGGCTCCTCTCGGAGACGTACTTTGAGGAACGCTTTGCTGAGCTGCCAGAGTTTAACCCAGAGGAGGTCCTTCCCTCGCCCACTCTGCAGAGTCTGGCCACCTCACCGAGAGCAATCCTGACCAGCTACCGCAAGAAGAGACGCAACTCCACGGGTACGAGTCAGAAATTCAGAGATGACTCCAAACTTTAGATCTGAACAACTGATATCCTGTGGAACAAAATCCCCACATTCAAAGTCTCTGTTCCTCCTCTTTTCCTTTGCTTGCCTTTCATTATTCCTCACGCGTCCGTCTCCCTCCAGACCTTGAGCTGACTGGGGAAGACCCGAGCTCCCCGAGGAGAAAGACTCGTCGCCTGTCCAGCTGCAGCTCAGAGCCCAACACCCCCAAGAGCGCCGCCAAGTGTGAGGGAGACATATTTACCTTCGACAGAGCAGGTATGACGTGTACGGCACCTACAACCTATCGAGAGATGCCGAGATGGCCTGACGCTGGTCTGATGGACCTTTCTGTGAAACCAGGTCCAGAAGGCGAGGTTCCCCCGGGAGAATTGGACAGGGTTTCGTACTCGTCTCTGCGCAGAACACTGGATCAGCGTCGGGCCCTCGTCATGCAGCTGTTTCATGACCATGGCTTCTTCCCCTCAGGTAAGCTAACAGTAGATAAGACATGACGTCACAGGAGAAGCAACAAACTAAAGCTAGAATCATTATGTAGTGCAAACCTGTTAATAACAAAAGCAGTAATGATGAAAATATGTCACAGCTGTGTGCTTCCACCAACAACTTAAAAAGTAAAATCACTGTCAGACTGAAGCAAGGAAAGAAGAATTTGCATTTTTCAAATTATTATTTAATTATTTATTTAAGTGGGAGTTTCCATCGCTATTTTTTCAAGAAAGATGTTTACAAAAACACAGACAACACAGTACAGACACTTAATACAAAGAATTACACCAGACTTCAGAATAATCAGATAAATTACAGTCCAAATAAATATAATCCTTTAAAACGCTGTAATGAAATAAGAAAATGTAGCTTCATACATTTTCTTATTTCTTAGCTCGTCCCATTCGCAGGCAGCAGAGCATTTTAATGTGTGTATCAGAGGTCTAGCTAATGTTAAAATGTCCTGTGAATGGACTTTGCTATTTAAACGTCACAACAAGGGTGCGGAGGTAGACCTTCCCACTTTTTTATAATAGATACAATGATGAGTGAGAAAAGCAGCAGTCTGTGACGAAGAGAATCGAGGGGCTTTCAAAGTGCAAAAATGACAAACATAATTTCTTTCTCACTCTCCTCTCTCCAGCTCAGGCCACAGCTGCCTTCCAGGCGCGCTACTCAGACACGTTTCCCAACAAGGTGTGCCTGCAGCTGAAAATCCGCGAAGTCCGTCAAAAGATCATGCAGACGGCCACGCCAGGAGCCCTCGAGCCCGGAGCGTTGGCCGAAGCCAGCCCCGCCTCTTCCCACAGCTCCTCTTTTAATCAATCAACCCGGGAGGATGCAGGGGTGGAGCAGCAGGGAGACAAAGGGCGGAGCCCCGAGGAGCCGAAAAGCGAAGGATCGTAAGCTGGAGAGGGCGACGGAGCAGAAGAATTGAGGAAAGACAAAGAGGGAGAGAGAGGAGTGCGTTAACCAGTGAGGTCCTATCTGCTGGCGCTAATCTCCATCAGACCTGGGCAGAAATGTGGAATGTGGTCACAAATAATTCAAACTACTCAAGGCGCGCTTGGATCATCTAATCAGACCTTTAAAAAAAAAAATCAAAAAGCCTCAAATATGGTCAAATCACATGCAAGTCACGATGAGTCAAGTGCTTCTTGTATTGTTTTCGCTGTTTATTTTCCAAGTATCCAGAATGTCTTTAGTTAACCCTTTTGCCCGGGTCTGCTCTCAGCACATTTGTACAGTAGTTTGTAGTTTGACACACAAACTCTATCTCTCTGGCAAACACACACATGCATACAGACACACACACCAGCCCTGGTGCATATGTAATCTCCAGCATGCACATGATCCCACAGAAACACGCATACACGCTTAACAATCAGACTGTTACTCTTGGTTGGCAGCCCCCAGGAGTTGCTACCAAGGACCACGACACACAAAGGCACTTTGTCACTTATTGTGCAGATGCAGTTTGCTGTTGCCAGCCAGCCAGCCCTCAGATGCCATTGACTTGACCTCTTTCTCGTCCTCCCACTCCTCAGCACAGTGGTCAGGACATAAAAACACAACCCCAACGACCTCCACTGATATTCCACAGCCCCTCGATGCTGCAAGACAGACAGCACACACACATACACAGTACACACACACACACGAACACGCGTCCGTACAGCGTGAGTACACAAACACAGTCAAACACCACCACCAACCCCGCCCCTTGGTCTGACCAAGCCATCGGCCTGCACAGTTTTTAGTGATTGTAGTGAGAAGAGAAACTGAAAGCATGACATTTTATTCGCTCCTGAAAAGAAAAACAAAACAAACAAATAAAAACAAGAAGGCAGGAGTCGTGATGTAGTGTGACCAATCTTTGCACCTTCAGTTTATTGCCATTATGAAAGACTCGAGTCCTTACTGGCGGGAGCTGATGATCTATATGTCTGTATGTCTGCCGGGGGTCATGACCCCCAAAACCTGTGCGAACAGGTACCATAAAGAGATTATGTAAAGAGACTTTTAGGTTGTGAGGCTTTGAAGAATCAACGTTAAACTCGACACCGACCAGCTCCCAACAGAGCACGGAGAAAAAGGGCGGAAGAAGGAGAAACTGGATGCAAGATTCATATTCCAACGATGGGAAGACGTGATAGCGGTGAATACGGACAACATGACGAGAACCAAACTTCTCTGAATCCCCCCCCTCCCTCCCCCCATGGATATGATGTTGCTTTCTCTCATTATCGTGGAAATAACCAGTTTTACCGTGGCCTGTTTTTCTCTCTCGTGGCTCTATTGTGTTTCTTCTCCAGCATAAAAAAATAATAACAACAACAACAACAAAACTCTGGACAAATAAGGGGACAAAAATCAGCGTGTGCCCCGTCTCTCCCCTCCCTCCCCTCCCTCTACGATTTCTCACCAGACACAGAAGCGGGGGAGCAGGGGCGTTTGTCGTTTTGTAAAACGTTGAAATCAGGTGTTTGCACAATTTGTGCGGCCCTCTCCGTCTGGGGGCCGCCACAAGTTAAATCAGGAAAGTATTGTTTTTAGAGATTGTTTTAGTAGTTAAAAAATAATAACTTGTTCCTTATGTTATCAATCACCCTTTTCCTCCTTCCCTGCTTTCCTCCTCAGCCCTCTCTCTCTCCTTCTCCCCCCTTTACTGCTCTCCTCCCTCCGACCCTCAAGTGTTGTCTGAAAGTGCCCTTAAGCACTGGTCCCGGGTCAAGCGCTATGTAGCTCAGGATGGTTCTGGTTAGGGTTAGTTCAGGGAAAGCGGATCCTAGACCAGCACTGGAGGGCAGTCTCCGGAGCCCTCCCCTTGTCCCTCTCTTCTCGACACTTTATCCTTTCCCATCAAATGGTGCAATAGGACTTTTTTTTTTTTAAATGGGTGGGGTTTTTGTTTTTTTTCGGGGCAAGGCTCTGTGCCATAGATATTAAACCCAGTCAGACAGTGAGAGGGATGAGCTGTTGTCTATAAATATGGTATAAAAGAAAACAAAAAAGAATCACGCAATTATTGTTCTTGTTGAAGCGATAGAAAGTATAACTTACTAAAAGTCAAAGACAATTTTTAAATAGCACTTTTTGGCTCTTTGCTTCTCGAGTGAAGAGTGGGGGTAGTTATTATTATTATGGGTATCTCTATAATTTCTCTGTATACAGTTGGATGTGTGAAAAACAAATATATATACCGGTATTTCCATATATGTGCATTTAGGTCTGTGTTTGGGTGTTGTGTGTATGTTTTGGCACATGCAGGTAGCGTGTTATCACGACCAACCTCTCGTTCTTTCACCACACAGCAACATTATCAATAGTATATTTTTCATTGTATCTACATTCTATATTCTACTCTAGAGACAGTATTTTTATAGTCACCATGACTATTTTGTCTGCCATCTTGACTGTTATCAAACCCAGTTGATTCAGGATATATGTGAAATATATATATATATATCTATATATATAGATATATAGATATATCTATATATATCTATATATATAAATACACACAGGTAAGAAGAAGACTATCAATTCACATTACTTTGGGGTTAGGGCTGTAAAGTGTCTGTCTGCATGCATGTGCAATCACATGCACCCGTGCACACACCCACACAGACATATGTGCATACACACACGTATGCGTGTACACTGTATGATTGTGCTTAAAAATAAACTGTCCTTACTTTGGAGAAGGAAATTTTAGGATGAGCGATGTGAGTGTTATCTCATAAGCAGGCATGTTGACCATGTGCAATATTTCTAAACAACAAAAAAAGACTAAATATTGAAAATATTAAAGTTCTAACACAACCTCTTATGTGCTTGCATTTATTTCATGTCCCTGCATTTCTTGAGTCTTTTATAATGTCGTATGTCTTATTTGTGAATCTGTGTCGGTGGGAGATGAATCTCTGCAAAAATCATAATGGCAGCAAAATCCCAAAATCCCTGGAACATACAGTGTGTGCTTCTCCAGCTGGCCTTTATCGAGCATATCAGTGTTGAAAGTGCTTATTGGATTAGAGCAGCCTTTGAGATTCAGGTCATATTGGGCGAGAAGCTGGGTTAAGTTAAGGAGACCTGGTCAAAGAGCTTTCAGTACAGTAAAACAGATGCTCTGTGGGAAGCTGGAGATAACACCTGGCTGCCCACTTCTGAACCCTAAATAAATCCATTGGCCTTCATTAGTTCTTTTTTTTTGTTTACCCAAGCAAGACATAACACCAAAGGCATGAAATAAAATTGAGAAAAAATACATTTAATTTAAAGGATATGCTGTTAAAGATTTAAACGGCACAGCAGTGTTGAACCTCACAGTGATCGGTCATTGAGTTTTATTTGTATTTCCAATATTTATGTTACTTTTATTACATTTTTACAAAGAGAAAAATTAATATAAGAGTCCAGGCTGTAATATGAACTAAAGTAAAAGGGTGTGACTTATTTCCGAGAAAAAAGCTAAATTCTGTGATGTATCTTGAATTTTTTTGTTGCTTTTCTACAAATGTTATAGTTTTAAATTTAACTGTAGCTGCGGCTCTTTCTGGCCTACATCCCTCCTGTTAATTCAGTTGAAATTTGTAGTTGTTTTGATTTGTAAAATTCAGAGCGGCAAACCTAAGTAGCGGTTGGCTCTAACTCCATCTCCCAGGTGTCATTGCGTGCGGTCTGTTTCTAGGTGTCTAGCAACAGCTATAAGCCCAGACAGCCGGCGGCAACGGGAGCGGTGTTTCTTGGTGTGTCTTTGGTGTGATTGTTCGTTGCCGGTTGTTCATAAGTAATAGTGGTTTAGCTGAAAAAACGGTGAAACAACAACCCTGACCCCTGCACAGAGATATGAGCGGCAGCGGGCGGCCCAGGACCAGCTCGTTTGCTGAGCCGCCAGGTGTTCCAGGAGCCGCTGCTGCGTCCGCCGGATCAGCCGCTGCCGTGGGGAGCAGCACAGGAAAGACCGGGGTCTCGCAGGCCTCCGGTAGCAGCTCGTCAGGATGCTCCAACCTTAAGCTTGCCAGTAAGTTGTAATTATCTACTAACTCCTTATCAGAATGTGCTGAATCAATATGTCATATTACAAGTTACAAACTAAAAACTACACACCGTCGTTATGTGTCACAGCGCAGAGGAAAGTCGTTATTTCTCCGCGAACTGGCTAGCAAGGTTACTAGCCTGCTAACGTTAGCCCACTTGTTTTGTACATTACTAGTTCCCTGTCCGGCCGATGGCTCTTTTCACCCCGTCTGGTGTCAAGACTGTTTCACATGCCATCATTTTAATCGAGCAAAACTAAAGCACATTAAAGATTTGAAGTAACTAACTAATATGTGTTTAAAAGCTGCAAGTGGGTTGGATTTTTTATTGTGGTCATTGTGGCTGCTGAGCTGTTAAATCAGCTCCGTTGTTCTTTGTGACCAAGCTAGACTGTAATACCCCAAGTTGAGTGCTCCATTGAAGGGTCTTTTGTAGGTGTAGCTGAGAGTGCCATTAGCTAACAGTCTGAATCCACTGGTGGAGGGTCAGGGCGGAAAAGTTGCATATTCACCAAGGTCACCTGCGGGGTAGTGTTAAAAAAAGAAGCTTAGCAGCAGGTGGCCGACGCCTGGAGGATGCAAGTGATCCACGTCCAACAGCAGAGCCCAAGGAGTGGGTTTCCTCAGTCTGAGGAGAAATAATAGTATGCCCTTTTATCACTGTAGTAGCGGGTGTAAGCAGAGATCTGTGTGTGTGTGTTAATCCAAACCTTATCATCCATTTGCAGCCACTGCCGCGTCTCTTGATATTAGAGCCCAAAAGGGAGGTCATCTCCAGTTCAAAGCCATGTGACCCCTAGTTTCTCTGCAGCAGAACAACACAGACTGATGTCCTATCAAATGTTGCCTTTGGCAATTTAAAGATACTCTTTTTAATGGTTGATCAGGTGTTTTTTGTCATGTTTGAGCAACCTGCAAGCTATACCTGGAGGCAGAATTTCTGTCAGTAGGATTTTCCTGAATATATCACCAGGACTGTGATATTTATTTATTTATTTATTTATTTATTTATTTTTAAACAAGTTCTTTTTGTAAGTTGGGTAAAAATACTTTAATCCATTTTTGTTCATCAGAAATAATAATAAAAAATTAAAAAAAACACCTAAACCTCTGATATGCTTAATTGTATAGCCAGCCTCACTCCCAGCAGACAACAGTGAACCCGGAGCAAGACACGTGAGGGAATGAAGTGATTTGGGGGATTAAAATTAAACTTGGACATGGAGCTTAGTCAATGCAAAGTTGAATTGTAGTGCTTCACAGATGACTGACAAGCCTATAAAAAAATAATAAAACAAATGAAATAAAAAGTAGAGAGTAAATTATAAAACCAAACAGAATAAAATACAATAACTTATTTTATTTATTTTAAACCATACATGCCTTTTCAAAAGGAGAAGGGAACACAGGAAGGTAACGCCCGATAAATATTTGAAAGGGATTTAACATTAATTACATTTTGAAAACTAGATACAGCAAAGCCAATTTAAAAAGTGGTAAGCTATGTCTATAAATCATACTTAATCACAAGCCAGGCTGAAGAGGCCGGTTTTAGATTTTCTATTTCAGTGATTGTTCCTGTGATTTGAAGCATAAAAAGTAAAAAGCTGCCCCACCTGGTATAATGGCGTATACTCTGAGAGCATATAAGACACATTAGGGCTTTTTTCTGGCTAAAAATGGACCTTTGGGGCAGTGATGACTGCAAATATAATCACAATTTCTTCCAGTATATGTAAGGCACAGAATCTGTGTTGCCTTACTAAAGTCTACATTAAACATTAAACACCACTAACAAGAATTAAAAAAAAAAAAAACCCAACAACTTTGAAATCATAATCCTGCTGATCTTTCTTTAGGTAGAAAGCCAACACTTTTTTTGTTTTTTGCTGGAAAACTCCTGGATTTGTGCAGCAAAGGACCGTGTAGGGCCTTAATGCGTACCATCCATCTTGTCCAGATAAGCACACAGGCTGCTGTTTTTTCAAAGACTAGATAGCTGAGCATTTTTCAAGCCTGCTTTAAAAGCTTGGTCACTTGGAGAGATAAAGAAATGGTTTCACTTTTGTGGCATTTTTAAGGAGATAAATGGCAGATCTGGAGATAAATCTCACATGAGAAAAGTTCAGCTCTGAGGCTCCGTCCACACTAATGCGTTTTGAAAACACATCGTTTTCTCTCCATTTTGGCCTCCCATCCACATCGGATGGCGCTTTCCCCAAGGAAAAACGCAGCGTTTTGAAAACGCTCTGGAAAACGAATACATTTGAAGACGGTGCGTTTGCGTCGCAGTGTGGACAGTGAAAACGCAGACTTTCGAAAACGATGACGCCTTTTATTCATGTGATGCACTCATGTGACTAATTAAACAAAGATAGCGGAGGGCATTATACAGCAGTTGTTTTATTTGCTCTCAATTTTGACACCCTTTGACACCTCATTGTTAGTCCATTTGAAAAACTCGGTGCTTTTCCTCGACATTTTGCCGCGACATTTCAACGAGCCGGAAAGTAAATAAACGGCTGACAGAAATGAGGCAGGCCGAATCTTCTTGCGCTTCACACATGCACGGTACTGGAACGTAGGCGTTTTCTGCCGTTTCAATGTGGACGCACAACTCTGTGAAAATGACTGAAAATGCTAGTGTGGACTCCGAGGGTTTTTCAGACGAAAACGCGGTTTTCAAATCTATCCGGGCTAGTGTGCATGTAGCCTGAGTCAAAGTCCACACCTAAATCTCTAACGCGTTGGCTTGTTTTTCAATGGATCTGTCTGTATAAAGACTGGAAGACATGTAATGTTGAGGCATTTCCTTGATGTTATAAAATACCAGTATTGGTCTAATTTCAGTCCTTTGCTCTGAATATGGTACTTGTTGTTGGTAACTCTTAAAGATGACATTTTTACTTCACTGTGTATTAAACAATGAAGAAAAATGCACCTCCTTATAGCTTACATAGATTAAATAACAGGTTGCTTACCCGCCTGGTCACCTGCCAAAATAGTTTTAATTGGTGTGGAGATGTCCTGAAAACCTTAGTTTTCTGCATTAAGGCCCTGTGTGAATGTACCTCCTGAGCTGACAAGCCCTGACATGTCTTTGAAGTGAAGGAGGAGGACTAAAGACATGCTGTGTACAGTAATCCTCTATGATTACATTTTTGCTGAAATACGCTGTTATTAATACTTATATAATCACTAAAATATTTCTCTCTTGGAAATTAGAGTACCAGCATCAGAATTGATGCTAATATTATGGGATGCTTGACAGTGAATTGAATTTTTTTGTGTGTGTATGTGTATTGTAGAGTTTTTCTATTCAAAAGAGGAAACAGGTCCTGCTTCCATGAAGCAGAACATTTCTTCACATCGTTGTATAATTACCTTGTCGGCTGCTGTCACCGCTGCATCCAGGAAGATGTTCTCTTCTCCTGTTTTGTTTTGTTTTTTTTGTTTTTTTGTTATGGTCTGTGAGCAGCACCAGGATTTATCTCAGGTCTGCTTCATGCATAAAGTGTAATTCCTTTGCAGTGTTTGAAGTTTTATAATGCAAAATACAGTTCTAAAATACAGGATCTAACTTCTAGTTTCGTGCTCATGGAAATCCGATGTCAATGCTGGATGAATGATATGAGGACTTGACTTTTGCAATGCAATATATAAAATTCAGAGCATCATACCTGTACAGTGGAGGTTGAACATATAGGACACAAGTCAGGGACAAGAGACCGTTCGCCTTCCAAGTAAAAGTTGTGATGTTTGAAATGTGTTTATTCATCGGTAAAACTGA